AAGGTGTATAAGTTCATATGACATTTTAAATAAGGGAGTTTTAACGAAACACTCCCGAAACTGTTTACTTTAACGAAAAATGATATTTTTACTCTAAAAAACCATTCCTTGTACTATTCACTTACAACATTTTTTTGTCATTTTGATTAAAACTCAAAATTTTCAAACATTTTTTATTAGTTTCCATTAAAATAAAATTCCATTATTGGACAGTATATTGGAGGAATCGACCCCTAACTTACTATAGTAGGCGAAGTTTTGAAACTTCATCTTTAATCTTTTCCTAATTTAGTAGCATATAAAATTAAAGAAAAACTAATGAAAAGAGTTTGAAAACTTTGAGTTTTAACGATAAGGACAAAATAAAGGGTAAAGTGAATAATATCATAATTGATTTTTTAGTATAAAAATGTATTCATGCATTGTTTCAAAAAAAAAAAATCAAAGCATGCATTATGCACTGAAGTATTTGTTAATCTCGCCTTAATCAAACTTTGATCAAATCTTGAACCGCTGATCGAACCCATTAGTTTGGAAATTTGAACAAATCGTGGTTGACCAACAAGGCAATTTTGTCGATTTCTGGTGACATATTTTTGTTTAATTGGAACTATGATATATGCAAAATACCAATTGCCATGGGAAACTGATAACCACTTGGCACCTCCCAGCAACTAGGGATTAATGGAGTTTGGTGGGGATTATGCTTGTTGGCTGCTCGATTCTGACCGGGAAGTAGAATTTCCGACTCTGCCGTCCCTGACCTTTCTTTCTCTATCGCTGTTTGTGTGACGGTGTGACGGTGTGACGGTTTATCTTCCTCGTTAAGTATTAGGGTTTCGAAATCTTTCAACAGTTTGAGGCCTGCACGACCAAGTAAAAAAAGAAAGCACCTCTTCAAATACCAACGAGCCAGCCGTGTTTAGTTTCTGACATTCTTTACTTGGAGGTTCAAACATTGATCAAGTTGCTAGAATCCATGACCACGAATTAGTGTTTTTATATTATTTGGCTGAGTGCTTAAATTTTGGCGTCTCTCGTTTCCAACGCCCAACGCCATAGCCATCCATGAATTGACATGCTTTGAAATTGAGAACCATGTTAATTATCTTGTATGGTGGGGAAAAGAGCAGGTGCCGCAATTAAAGATACGAGGAGAGAAAATTGATTAAGGTGGTTTGGACACATGAACGAAAGACATATAAATATTTTGGTTAGAATATACGATTATGAGACAAAATGTCAAGATAAAAAAGGTAGAAGAAAACCTAAAAAGACTTGAAAATAAACTTTACCAAAAATATGGAGTGATTGGAGCTAACGACAGACTTACACCTTTGGCATTCTAAAATTCATACATTTACCCACACTGGTATGGAAATTACAGAAAAGCTCCCACTTTTGTAGGGACTGTCTTACGAGTCACGTAATTTGAGTGCTGTATTCCTGCACAAGATTTTGTCGGGGGTCCGAACCATCCCTTTACAAATGACATCACAAAACTCGGCATGCATTGCTTGTTAGATCATGGACGACGTGGCAGTTTGACTCATTCCCCTCCAGTCTATAAGCAACCACCAAGTGACTCAGTCCAACTCGTTCTCCCAAAACTCAGTCTCCTCCCTCCTTTCCCCTTCTTCTCCACTGGATTTCAAAGTTTGTCCCACACACCAACCGATTCTTCAGCCGGAAAAGATAATTTCCAATTTCCAATTTCCAAGTAAGTCTCTCTTAAAAAATTCCGACTTTAATTTAGTAGATAAAATAAAAATCCCAATTAACATTTTTCTTCCTTCCAACTTTCTGCTTGTCTCTACTGGTTTAGGGTTTTACTCGGTCGTTTTCGTGTTTGAATTTTGCTTCTGAATCAACTTTCTACGTTGAAAAGCTCTAATCTTTAGAGAGAGAAAGTGAGGAGAGAGAGAGAGAGGCGGTCAAGGGTTTTAGGTGAGAAAAAGAGCAGAGAGAGAGGGGTTGAAATTTCAATACCAACTGTTTACGCCAAAAATTTCAACTTGATTGGTTCTATGTTATTTCCTGGAAGTATCCTTCAATGGGTATCAATTAGTTTTTAGAATTTTTGTCAGAAACTTTGAGATGTTAGGGGAAGAAGAGAAGGACCGGCTCGCCGGAAATACTACCCGGAAAACCTATCTGCGGTCGGTTTCGTGGTCTGACCGGTCACCCTCTAAGCCCAACAATCCATATCCGAGGCCACAACTGAATACTAAGGTGAGGTCTTGCCTACCTCCACTTCAGCCCCTTTCAATAGCCAGAAATACCGTTAAGGAGTGGCCACGGGCAGGTTCTGATGATCTCGGGGTCTGGCCTCAACCGCAGACCCCGAGAGGGTCAGCTAAACCGCTTCCGAACTCGAATCCAGAAGAACCTGGGAGAGAATTTGAGTTTAAGAAGGATAAGCTTGCTTTTTTCGATAAAGAGTGCTCGAGAATTGCTGATCATATATACTTGGGAAGTGATGCGGTGGCTAAGAACCGCGAGGTTTTGAGGCAGAATGGGATCACTCATGTGCTGAACTGTGTTGGGTTTGTTTCTCCCGAGTATTTCAGAAATGATCTTGTGTACAAGACACTTTGGTTGCGAGATAGCACATCGGAGGACATTACGAGTATACTATATGATGTGTTTGATTATTTTGAAGATGTTCGAAAGCAAGGCGGTCGAGTGTTTGTGCATTGTTGTCAGGGAGTGTCTCGGTCCAACTCTCTGGTCATTGCATACCTCATGTGGAGGGAGGGCCACAGCTTTGAAGATGCGTTCCAGTATGTGAAGGCAGCACGAGGGGTGACTAACCCGAATATAGGTTTTGCTTGTCAACTCCTTCAGTGCCAGAAGAGGGTACATGCTGTGCCTGCAAGCCCAAATTCCATGTTAAGGATGTATCGGATGGCCCCACATTCACCATATGATCCTCTTCATCTGGTGCCAAAGACGTTGGGACATCCAGGTTCACAAGGACTCGACTCTCGTGGGGCGTTCGTTGTGCATGTTCCATCTGCTATATACGTCTGGATTGGAAAGGATTGCAACACAAGGATGTCAGATAATGCCAGGGCAGCTGCCTTTCAGGTCATCCGGTATGAGAGGGCAAGGGGTCCAATTGTGGACATCAATGAAGGTGAAGAACCGTTGGAGTTTTGGGATGCTCTTTCCAGTAGAATATTAGCAGAAGATTCCAGCAAGATGGATGCCAAAAAGGTAGAAACTTTTTCTTCCGCAGGTGATAAGGTTTCTGCAGCGAGCTGTGTTCCGGTGGGTGAAAGGAAGGTTGCTGAATATGATTTGGATTTCGAAATTTTCCATAAGGCACTTGCAGGTGGGGTTGTTCCACCTTTTTCAGTATCAAATACCGAATCAGAAACTTGCCTTCCAGCCAGAGAAAATGGATGGGGTAGATTGCGTCAAAAGTTTGCCAGCGGAATTATGAAAGAATTGATCACATCTGAGGTGAACCGTAACCCTACCCCATCTGATGTATCTGATATGGTTGTGGAAATTCATAAAGAAGCAGAAACCTCTGTTTCCCCGATTGAGCCTTCATCGCCATTATCAGCATCACGTCATTTTTGTGGTTCACCAGATTCCTTTGAATGTTATCCAAATAAAAGCCCACGTAGGGTAACAGATACTTTTAGAGAGGTAGAATGCTTCGTTCCTCTAACCGATAAGTTACTGTTACCTGCAACTCTTTGTGGTTCACCAGATTCTTTTTCTTGTTTTCCTGACAGAAGTCCTAAGTTTAGCTCCAAATCCCCAACACTCTCTCCTTCAACCTCTGATTACTCCAGTTCATTTACCTTTTCACCCTCATCTTCTAATTGGTCGGACTTGTCATATTTGTCTTCTCGACAGCCTTCACCTTCTGGCTTCGATTCCACAGATCCATCTCATGTTAAGAATATTTCTTTGGCAGATAACTCAAGCTTACTTTTCAAAAAATCTCCCTCTTCGCCTACAGAGGCCTTTTCGCCTAATTGTACTTTGGAAGTGACAAATACAGGCTTGCCATGTAAGGGGATTTCCCCCTCTATTGCGGAGCGTAGAGGCAGTAATCCTCCACCTCGAATGTTGGTACCTCCGGTAGATGAATCACCGAAAGTTCCGAGTAATCTGGTACGCTCATGGTCCTTCTCCTTACCTGACTTGGGTGATGATGCAATGGACACTGATTGCAACCAATCTGAAAATGGGAACAACGGAGAAGAGCTTATGTTAGATGTGGACAGTAGTCATCATGGAAATGATTTGAAATGTGAAAGGATCACGCAAGCTGCAGAAGCGATCAACCCAGTTTTGTACCAGTGGCCTTCTTTGAATAAAGTGGAGATGCATCGGTCTCACAAACTTCATTCTGGATCAGCGTATCTTTTGCCAGCTCCAGATATGAGTGCAGGCGCAAGTAATCCTGGTATCTTATTTGTCTGGTTGGGACGCGAAGTTTTGCATGAGGAAGGGCAAAGTCCGACATGTGAGGATAGACATCTTCACTGGGAGGCCACAGGACACAACTTCCTTGATCGCATGGGTTTGCCGATGAATGCCCCTGTACAGGTAATTACCATACAGTTTTTGTTTTCCTTGTTCCTCTGTGTTACATTATTGCTACTGTAATTTCAAATCGTGTTATGATTAATGCACATTAACATATCTAATCTTTGCTCGTGAATGCCTATGGTATCTGCAGATAGTAAGAGAAGGTGAGGAGCCAGAGCAGTTCCTGATCCATCTCAGCCGTATATCAATACAGGAAACGTAATCGTGACTAGAAGAATTGGAAGAATCGGGTTTTATGAAGGTTGTGGATTCGTGGACCTCAAAGCTAATGGGATTTCGGGATGAATCAGTTGCGGATCATGAGGGGAGTTGGCATCCTGGGCAGTGTAAGTGCCTCTTTACCTGCTTGAGCGATGTATGGAGTGGTAACAGAAACATGTACAGAGAACAAGTCGGCGTTACGCCGATAGAAATTATTAGTAAAGTTTTGTTTTCAAGGCAGATAAATAGTATCAATTGAAATAAGCGAATCAAGTATGTACATTTTCCCCCCTGTAAAGCACCAAAGGTGTTGCCATTCAAGACACTCCGATGAAAGTAGATACACTATACAATAAACGGCCTTGAATTGCACCAACGACCTCGCATTACACACACCGGAAATACTATTTTTAAGGCGAAAAGTCGGATTCTATTTCTTCTAAGTTCACAAAACTATGGACAACAGTTGATCTAGGAGACATTTACCCGCTGTTAGGTCCTTAGTGCCCTTGCGCTCTCAAACGAGCCACTACTGGACCTAACGCGCTACCTCTCAAGCCCCTATACGACCATGAGCTCCTCACCGAACCATCGTTTTTACTCCAACCGTTCTCCTCCTGCGACAGCTCCGCCTTCTTCGCATTAAATGCCTGGCTGATTTCATCCCATGCACTTGCCTTTCCATTTTCTACATGTGTAAACAAGAATATCGAATCATATTCAAATTCTTCGTGTAAGAGGGACGGAACGTGGAAATCTAATTTGTACCTTTCGTAGCAGCGTGAGTTTCCATGTCTTTGTCGAGCTGCCTGGATCCTGATGCAACATTTTGATCTCCAGTGACTGGTTTTGCTGTGTTGAGGTTGCCGTGCTTAACAATGCGGACATCAAAAAGTGAAGAATAATCTACCTGCACAGGATCAAAACTTGTCAGATGCTAGCAATCAAAGACTATGAAGCAATAGATCACAGCCACTGCTAGACTGATAAAAGATGGGTGAATATAACTACAAAAAGGTCGTAGGATGACGGTACCGGCATCAATATAACTCGATCATACAAATATTGGTCATAAAAACAGTAAATGGATGTATCGCACTTTGCAACACACTATGAAAGGTGGTAGTTCAAGTACCTCTAGAGAGCGATCTTGCCCGTAAAGGGATGTATCTGGCACTACATCAGATCCCTCATCCGTCCCCGCAAAAACAATGGGATACTCTGGAACCTGTACTAGCATAATCTTATTTGATTGAGGGTCATACCGTGACACTTCTCCAATCTACAGGGACAAGGAAACCTCTGATGGTAAAAATTTATGTTCACAAACGTTAGGCAGAAATTTAAGATAAAGAGTCATACTCGGTATGAGGAAACTTCAGGAGTCCAGCACGATGTTAATTCAATCAAACAATATGCAATTTGATCACCTTTCTGCAACACATTTGAATGCAAATTATCACCTTAATTCCTCAATACTAAAATAACTGCAATATAAAGGATTAAATTGACTTGATGTGAAAAGCACTTTCACATGGTCAAGAATATTCTCGACTCGTGAATATTAACTACATGTGCAAAAGATGTACTACCAGATATAAGAAAGGATAGCAACTGAAAGGTTTTTATAGTACAAAGCCAACTGCAAATAACTCTTATTTTTATTATATTTTTTTGCTATGATGAGGGAAACTAATGTTCATGGAAGCGACATGAAAAGAAGGAAAGCACCAAACCTTAGGTAAAGTAGTACAGAGCTCAAGCTTATTGAAGTCTATGTGATCATTCACAGGGATCTCTTTTTCAATATCCGGTACTCCAGGTGACTCTTGATTCAGATCGTTGTAGTCGCTTGTTCTTGAATGTGATGTTTTCTCCATACCCCATATTTGACCCCTCTTCTTGCTGGTTATTCCATTCCACCGAAAAGTTTCCTGAAGCAGGCAGGACATACAAATATAAAGAAATCACATATCTCAATAGATAAAGTCATGATGTAAAATAAAAAAAGTCAGAAGAAATTAAGAAGTATCTTACTTTTCAAGAAAGAAATTTTTTGAGCGTTTCAAAGTAGCCCCTACAGAAGAAGAAAAGTCTATAATGATCTAAAGAAGAGAAACATACCACTGGAGTTGTATTCTGCTGAATAGGCTGATCTTTGTCCACTGAAACAAGTACACACCTCAGATAATTGTAGTAACAAGTTATCCATAACATGAAGTATAAAGGTCGTACCCAGTGCACAAGGCTCCCGCTTTACGCAGGGTCTGGGAGAGGATCCATAACATGAAGTATGTACCCAAAAAATCAATTGATAAACTCAAATGCCACAAGTAATTGTCTATTCAAAGATCCGACCCATACATACCTTTTGCTAGAGGTTCAAATCGAATATGTCCTGGTCTAATTACTACAGGAACAATATCATCCTCTTTATCATTATCTGTGTATGGTTGCTTAACTACTTCATTGTTATCTATTTTCATTTGCTCATCCTCTCCGTCACTATCTGTGTCCGATTGTTCCTCCTCTTCTTCATTGTTTGTGTTTGGTTGCTGGTGTTCTTCAGGACATTTCTGATTATCTTTACCCGTTGATTGCTGATTATTTGTTTTGAGCAATTGCGTCTGATGCAACTGCAAATTGGAACATTATAGGTCAATTTTATTTCTGGAGAAAAAAGTGGTCCCTCTTGCAAAAAGCAGATATAGGTACTTCAGAGAACCAACTTAAGCGGAAGGACCAAATACTCCCTCTCGTAAGGACATATAGGTACTTCAAATACCAATTTATGATGCCAGCCCTCAAATTTACACACATATGCACAACATTCAAAACGGTAAGCTAAATATTTTGCGTAACATCCTCACTATTTTGAGGTGTGTACACAAGTGTATTTGTGGTGCATATGTGTGAAAGAGGAATCTTTATCTATTTATCACCTTATACACCAGTAACACCACATTACCTCTTCCTTCTCAGCTTTCATTTTTTCCCTCAACCATTGCCTTTTGGCCTTTTTACGTCGAGCACTTCTACTAGGAAGCTGGCACAAAAAAAGATAAAAGGAGCTCACACATTTAAACTTGTAGCTGATATAAAAAAAATGTATGACAAACAGCATGTACATCTAAGATTATAGTGATAACTACTACCTTTTTACTTTCACCAGGCGTTTCAGATGAAACCACACCCTTTTTTTCGTTCTCTTGAAGCTGACAGGATCTATCAAACAAAATTAGGAAAAGAAAAAATGGTGAGTACTAGATGTTTACGGTCTTACAGAAATTTGGTAACATAAATTTCTAAAAACCTGGCTCTATAGGGTTAGCTAGCAGACCAAACCTAGACTCAAGTGCGGGACATATGAAACTGGAATAGAATTTTTTGCCTTTCATCATAATTACAAAAAGGCCAGAAAGCTACCTCTTTCCATTGGGCATTGATTTACTTATTCCATCAATTCTTTCATCAGTCTTACGGGTGCTTGAATTATCCAGTCCATCCTCAACAGTAAATGACTTGTCCATCTTGGAATGTCTCTTTTTGGCGAGAACACGAGACTGATGAGAACTTTTTGTCTTCTCTGCACGGACATCATTCTGAAGGCCTTCAGGTAAACCAGAACATTCTTCGGTAGCGGAAGATTTAATTCTCTTCCTCCTGAGATATATAAAGGCAAGTCACATGCCTCAGTAATTGCGTATAATATCATAAAAGCCTTAACCAAAAACGTAATAACATATAGGATCCAGTTAAATTGTCCAAAATATCACTGATATATATTGCAATGAAAGAAATAACCATTTCAGTTTAATTCTGTTTAAAGCACAACTATGCAAGTCACAATTAAAACGAAGTTCTAGTGATGATATCTCCAATACAAACATGTACAGCAACTCATAGTACACTTTTTCAATCAGATAAACAAAAGATACATTCCGCGCATGCCATTGCAAATAAGTCTTCAGAAATGGAGTAAAAATACATACTTTGAACTCTGAGGTTTATCTGAAAGCTTCCTTTTCTTGGACCGTCTGTTTGAACCGTTGTCAGGTGGATTCTCAACAGGAAATAAATCCTCCAATTGGTCAGATCCATCCTCTTCCGAATCACTATCATATCCTCCAGTCTCCTTTTCGAATTCTTCATTAGCCAGAAGCTTCATACGCGTATTCATCGGTTGCCTCTCCACAATTTCCTCCACCTCAATAGCGTCTGTTCCATCATCAAGCAGTGCAATTTCAGACAATGTGCCCTCTTTCCTATTCACACTGTTCAAATAAAAAATCAATACACAAACCCAAATATAAAAAATTATAAAAAATTTGAAAAAACCCCCACATTTTCCGATAATACAAGCAAAAATTGACCTGATAATATCTTCATCCTTGAAAATGGAGGTGGATTCGAAAGGCGGAAGCACAAACCCATCCATCTGCGAAAAAAATATAAAATTGCTTTGAAATTTCAATTTTTTGTTCGGGAATTAGGTTATGGGAAGGGGATGCTTACGGAGATGAGGAGACCATCGGGGCAAGAACGGTGGAGGTCGAAAGCGTGGAGGAGATAGGCGGCGAGGTTGGAGATGGTGCGGTGGTGAGGTTTGAGTAGAATCCAGCTCCGCCTGAGTCCTTGTGTCCTCTGTGACTTGCTCAGAATGTGACGCTCCTTAAATGCCACCCGAAGCCTCACGCCGTCCGTCGTCGTCGTCGTCATCATCGGAAGATGAGAGAGAGAGCGCGCGCGGAAGGAATCGCTCGACTTCTTAAACCCTCGCTGGGGTTTTCTCAGAGCTCCCCGTTGAGCAGTAAGCTGACAGTTGTTCTGCTACTGTTAACTGGGTATGGGCCTGGGCTTAGGAAGCTGGATCATCGACTACTATTAATTTATGGGCCCCTTGGGCTTGAATTGAACTGTCCTCGTAGATTTTCCGCCGCATTTTTTGCTATGCTGCTTCACACTCCACTTTACTCTACTTTGATTTCTAAAACTCAAGTTGTGCCACTTTGTCAATTCCGTCAAAAAATTTGTTAAGTCGGCTGATGTGGCATGATCGGGCCCACTTATTTTTGCTTTTGATTGCCACGTGTAGAGGCCAGCAACAATTAAGCTTAACTGCTGTATTTGAACCTAACAGTCAAAGAACTTGTTCTTGAAACCTAATTAGGGATGAAAATTAATGTGTGGGAGATGTTTTTCTCATGCCTTCATGTTTTAAGTATGTTATAATTTTATTACTCAAGTGCGTCGTACATAAAATCAGTGAGACTTCTTATACCTATGCAACTAAGAACTCGTTTATAAGTGGTTTTAAAATAACTGAAAACGCTTTTAGAAAAAATATTTTTATATTTCAAAACATTTGAAGTGCTTTATGCAGAAAGCAATAGACAATGTGCTTATTATAAGAAAGTATTTTCAGAATTCACTTACATATTTACCTAATTAGTTCTAAAAATATTTTCATAAAAAAAAATTATGTTTATTTTAAAATTACTTACAAACGAGCCATAAAACTCGTTAGCCTTTTTCTCATGTTTTTAGAGTCGCGAACCGTAGGACACCCCATTTAATACGACATCTCATCATAAATTACAGTGTCGTTTAAAAATTTGCCCAATTGAGAGACAGATGGCAAATATCAACCACTACATTCTTGTCTTCTATGTCAATTAGTCAGATTGCGAGCCCGACGACAGCGGCACCCAATGACAATGCCAGAAAAAGGAAGATGAATGCCAACAGGCCCTCGTTATCTGCCAAAGGAATGATGAGATGAGAGTGTTAAAGCTGCACCACATTTCTGACACGAGATTTATCCTCTCCCTTGGCAAAATTATACCAATAATCCGTTTATAAATTTTCAGTGGCTCTGCTGCAGCTGCCATTGCAGTCACTTCATGTACTGCCACAAAATAATGTACGTTTTTTTCTCTCTGATCCACACCCCAATAAAATAATAATAAACCCTTCAGTTTTTATACTGCCTACCTTGCTTTTCTCTGCAATTTCCACAGACCAAAAGCTCACAGGTACGGCGGCTGTACCCTTCTGATTTTCCTTCTTCTTTCTGTTTTGAGCTTTTCGGTGAATTGGGTTATTATCTGTGTTAATCTGCTAACTGGGTTTGCTTTTTGGTTGGTGTTTTACTTAAAGTTTTGGTTTTTGGTGAAGATCTGTGATCGGTGCCTGGTTGGTTCTCTGTAATTTTACTATTTGCCGACTCCAGTCGTTTCTTTTTTGGTTTTCTGCATTTGGGGTGTCGTTTTTTTGGCGATTCTGAACTAAATATTGCATCTTTTCCAGGTTTTATAGGATTCATCTGTTGAGATATAATTGTTTAGGCTTTCGGTTCGATACTTGTGATTGCGGTTGCTCATATTAATGCTGGTGTTTGATTTTAGTTTGTTAATCGGGATGATTAGTCCATTCAATGAATTAGTTTATTATTAATGTGAAATTTTAATTTTTGGTTTAAATGACACTGAAAAAACTGGAGGCCATACAGAAATTAGTTGAATAAATAATGAGTTCTGGGATTTAAGTTGACTGGTGACTGGGCCGATATTCAAGCTGCCATCTTCACACCATAATATTTGTTTCCGTCTTTCGTTCTGCATTTCACTCAATGAGTGCAGTCTTCCTGAGAACTGATAATCTTAGTGAGAAATGCCTAAAAGAATCAAACTAATGGGGGGAAAAAATGCAATAACAATCTGGTGCAATAATGGAGGGGTACAGGGTTCGTTTTTCTTTAAAATAGGGTTATTGATTATGGAATGGAGTTACTTTTCAAGGGATTATTCGTGAAGAACCCTTTTAGTTTTTCATTTGATCGTTTTTGTTAACTTACTCCAAAATCTGCAGGTTAGGGAGTGAGTACATAAATTGGCTGCTGTGCCTTCTCATTGCGTTGAGTAAAACTTTTTAGAACATAAAACTATCATCATGCCCCTTAAGGCATTGGACTATGAGTCACTGAATGAGAACGTGAAGAAGGTTCAGTATGCTGTTAGAGGCGAGCTGTATCTTCGAGCTTCTGAGCTTCAGAAGGAAGGAAAGAAGGTACAGATACCACTTCTTTTTTGGTTTTGTCTGGCAATGCTGTTTTTCTTGGATTTCACCCTTGTAAAATTGCCTTGCATGTCTTCTTAACTGCAATCAACTTAACATATATATGGCAACAGAACAGAGTTTAAGTGGATTAGTAGTCCCAATGACAATTCTATCAGATTTTCGCGCTGTCTCATTATTCAACTTCTTGTCTGCAGATTATTTTCACAAATGTTGGGAATCCTCATGCTCTAGGACAGAAGCCACTGACTTTCCCTCGCCAGGTTCTTCATATTCTCATATAGTTTTTTTCGTTGCTAAGCTGATACTCACTTTTTTTTAGTTTGAATTGTTTGAGTTGCTCACTTAAATTGTCCGTTGTTCTGACCAAGTAATCTTTTATTGCAGGTGGTTGCTTTATGCCAAGCTCCATTCCTTTTAGATGACCCTAATGTAGGGTTGCTCTTTCCTGCTGATGCAATTTCAAGAGCTAAACATTATCTTTCAATTACTTCGGGTGGTCTAGGTATCCACTTTACCTTACCTGCCTTTCATGTGATGTTATCATGGGAAAAGAACTTGACTATATCCAATGCACCGAAGAATGATTTTTCGTGTATTAAACTCCCAAAAGCTGATTACACACACTCGCACACCTGCTAAATAATTTAACTGGTGCTGCCATCTTAACTTTTTGAAAGACATATTCAGTTTATTTCAAAATTTAGCATATCTTATAAGATCTATTTCCTTTCGTTTCTCCACAATGATCTGCCCTACTGATCACCAATCCATTTCATGTTCATGTGGCGATGATCAAATTTTTTCAGTATCTGACCGAATCATGTTAACTGGAACTTTTATTTTGTATTTAAAAGCTAGATAAACATCTTATCTTGTCATTAGTTGGTGCTATAATCATGTTATATCTCCATCAATTTCGTCCTACCTGCTAACTTGCTCCGGTTATTATAAACATGAAATTGCTTGATCCCCATTATCTGCAATAAGCATAGCTGAGAAGTTGTTTCTGGGGTCGCCAAAGTTTAAGAGCTCCTTTTATCAACTGTAAGTGTGTAAATGAATAATTTTCTTCACGTTGTATGTGTAGGTGCTTATAGTGATTCCCGAGGTATTCCAGGGGTTAGGAAGGAAGTGGCAGAGTTCATTGAGAAACGTGATGGATATCCAAGGTGATGGTTGCTAGATATCAATCCTTTTACTTTACTTTTATTTTTCCCAGAGGCAATAAAGTTGTTAATTTGGTTCTGAAGTTGTCACTTAAGGTATTTGTTAATTTTTGGGGCCATATTACAGTGACCCAGAGCTCATATATCTCACCGATGGTGCCAGCAAGGGTGTGATGCAGATCTTGAATGCTATCATCCGTGGTGAAGGGGATGGGGTAATGTATCTTCCTAAATGACGATAGATAACAGATTACTTAAATATAAATGCTCTCTTTTTGTTATGTTTTTCTTCTTGACACCTCAATACTATCTCCATACATATTCTTATTTGGGATGCTGGCAGATTCTGGTTCCAGTCCCACAATACCCACTCTATTCGGCTGCGATATCTCTGTTTGGCGGTTCTCTTGTTCCTTATTACCTAGAGGAAACAGCAAATTGGGGTCTTGATGTTAATAATCTTCGCCAGTCAGTTGCACAGGCTCGTGCAAATGGAATCACTGTTAGTATGCTTTTTCCCTGGCTTATTTATCGAAGAATGCAGGAAATGTGTTTTCAAACTAAGAGTAAACTACATAAATGGGTGAATAGGATCAACCTGCAATATGCAGGCTGATTAATTTTTCAATACGGATTTCATACAGTACAGACTTTTGTTCGCATGCCTTTAGGAGGAATTTCCTCTCCAACGTTTTCCTGTTTACCTCCTGGATGCTAATCCTAATATCTACTCCCTTTTGAATATAGTAGTAAATGTCAATTTCTTCTATTGTTTGCAATTCAATAACAGAGTTGAGCTTTCTGTCATGGTTTTTACTACCAACTAAATATTTGCAATACAATCAGGTAAGAGCAATGGTGATTATAAACCCCGGAAACCCGACTGGTCAGTGTCTTAGTGAAGCTAATTTAAGAGAAATATTGAACTTCTGTTACCATGAAAGCCTAGTCTTGCTTGGGGATGAAGTTTATCAGCAGAATATATACCAGGACGAGCGCCCCTTTATTAGTTCTAGAAAGGTAAATACTCTTAGCTACCAGAGTTAGCTGCATGTGCCTTTCCTTGTAGTTTCAGCTCGAATCGATAAGTAATTCTTTAATTCTGATAATATTTGTAGGTATTGATGGGTATGGGGCTACCTATAAGCAAGGAAGTCCAGCTTGTTTCTTTCCACACCGTCTCCAAAGGATACTGGGGTGAATGTGGACAGAGGGGTGGATACTTTGAGATGACAAACATTCCTCCAAAGGTTTGTGCCTCCTCTATGTTGCCTATTTGCATCACATACTCGAGTTTCCAACGCACTTGACATTTTGATTGCCAAAAGAGGATATGCAGAGTATGCCTCCAGAAGCATGTAGGATTTAGACTTAACGGAAATACAAGAATGCTATAAAATTTCTGAAAGGTAGGGATTTTAACAAGTTTAAGATTTGATCAACTAGAAGCCTCCCCAGTTTCAGGTTACATCTCAGCTAATACTAGAACAATTTAAGGTTTTTTTTTGTTTCGTACTCTGAAAAAGTGTTTTTATGGCGTGTTGAATTAATCAGGCAAACTTCT